ATTTATCAGATCTGAAGAGGTAAAAAAAAAATAAGATTGCGTAGAATCAATAATTCATATGTCAACAGCTGGTCCTAAAGGGACTGCTTCACTTTCTAATATAAATGTTATAGGCAGACAGACCGAATCAGAGATCTAAGATCAAGATGTTTTTCCATTTACAGAACTGGAAAAACAAATACATGATGCTAAAATAGAGCTTAGTAAATCCATTGATTCAATTTTAGAAGAAGGTGAGAAGGCAAAAAAGACTGAAGGAAAGAAGTCGAAATCTAAGTCTATGTTAGCTTTGCTAGCATCATCTATTGAGACTCAGCAAATCCCAGCTTCAAAGAAGGATACAAATAATATGGATGCATTATATGAGAAAATGGTCGAAAAAAGCACAAAAATTATAGATGTAAAAAAAAGCTTTATCCTGAAAATAACGAAAATAATGTGGTCTCTTCCTCTGATAATTTGTCTAATACATTCTGAGAAGTCAGGGTGGAATCTCTTCTTAAAAATCTAGTTAATCATAGTGAAAAACTTAAGAGTTTAACAGCCAATACTACCCTTATATAAAGATTCACATGTATCAGCAAGAAATTTACCAGTATTTAAAGCTAAATAAAGTATTTCTTCAGTATTTATAAAGCGCTTTTCAAGCTCTTTGCATTTTTTTTTAAGTTCTACTCTGGCTTTTTTTCTATAGTGAAGACATTTCATTGGGATTTGTGAATTGATAGAGGGATGGTGATAGTCTTTCTATTTTGGTTTATCTTAAATTCCCCTTTCACTAAGAATTCCCATCCTACACGATATTGCCATTGTGTCCCAAGAATAAATAGTGATAATTCTTTTTCACTATTATCATATTCTATAAGGATGACAGAGAATTAATCCAGAATAGTGTCTCTATTTTTCTCATTCTCAATAGTTACAGGAATACTATTAACTGTACCAAGAGAATAGGACTTACTTGTGACCTCATTAAGTTTGTGAATCTTTTTCTTATCTATTTTTAGACCCAAATGTTTTGCAATATTTTCTGAAATAATTGAGAAGTCTGATCCACTATCAATCATTGCATAGGGTATATTTATACTTCTCACCTTACAGGAGATAGTCGCAACATCGTCAGCATCCTTTATTTGTAAAAAATTTATCTGTAAGGGCTTGGACCAATATATTTGTCTATTTTTTTTTTCAGCTAAACGATATTGAGCATAAGCCTTGATAGCGTAATTTAAAGCATGTCTACCTCTTGAGTGGTTATTATCTGACAAAGATTCTATTTCCATAATATTGTTTGTCTGAGAAGGAGATGAAACATTTAAAAGAGGCTTCTACTCGATTTTTACTACCTACAATAGTGGAAATAAAATCTCTTGAACTTTGCTTATAACATTCTCCTATACTATTTCCTTTCTTTTAACTGTATCATTTGGCATAACAGTATTCAAACAATGGTCTTCTAATTTGAGATATATTGTATTAATAAATTTCGAAATTTCTATAAGAATCTCTTTAAGGCAATAGAGGACTACTGATGATATTATAGATTTTAAGGCTATTTAATACATTTGATCCGTAGCTATGTAAAGTGCCTTACAGCTAATTATATTGCCTGATGCTTTGCTAACACGAGATTTGGAAGTAAGGGATTCCTTCTTGTAAGTCTTTTTCATAGGTACTACACTTTGTATCACTTTTTTTTTATAACATAGCAGTTTTGGTCAGTAATATTTAGAGCAGATCCATCATCATCAATACATCCATCACTCTTCTCAACTTCCTCCTCAACTATGTATTCTATTTCAGGCTCTTCGACCTTCTCCTCAAATATATATTCTATTTCAGGCTCTTCAGAATCATCAGGAGGTCCTCTTGGAATGAGATCTTTCTCAGCATTTTGGTATACATAATTAACTTTTTTAGTACTCTTAACTCCAGGGCAATTAATTTTTGTATGGCCAGCTTTTCTACAGATTGAGCAAAGACGAACAATTCGTTTAACTGGTGTTTTTTGTATTATCTTTCTAACAGCTTTCTTTGTAGCATTTGTATTTCTAACCTCTAACTCTGAGAAGGAGCTCCTTCTAATATGAGTCATTTTATGCTTTAGCCTTTTACCAAGATCATCATAAATAAAATGATCTAGAATATCAACATTTGATGCTAGCCCTGTATATTACAAATCTCCTGTAAGCCGTTTCATAAAAGCAATTGCTTTAAGCCCTTTATCTAATGAATCTTTTTGTGGTTGAGTAGTAAAGCTAACTGGAGCTGATGCAGAAGCTTGTATTCTTTTGCCTGCACTTTCATGCCATTTATTACGCAACTCAGTAAAAAATGCATTGACTGTAGCAGGGTTAGCAATTCTAACTCTCATTTCTAAATCAGAAGGCAAATGATTAAATAGATAAGGTATGGCATCAGCATCTTGCATTGCTTGTACTAATGGTTTGATTCATTTTTCATAACTATCTGGGGTATCTGTTTCAAAGAATTTTTCATTAACAAGAGCAAATATAGCACTTCAGTTAGTCCCTACCATAACTTCTCTATATCTTTCACGCAACTAGGCTAGGAAGAGAGGTTTAGTATTAATAAGTGGAGTACCTCTGGTGTAAGGATTATTAGCAGGAATAGGTGCAAACCTTTCAGTCATCTTATTTCTCATAATATTGTTTCTTACTTGCACATTAAACTCAGCGACAGCTAATAGATATGCCATTTCATTTATATTTCTAAGCTTTTGGTAGTACATATCTGAAAACTCTTATCTATTATAATCAGGTAACTGCGCAAGTGTTGGAGAAATAGTATGCATAACATCTTGAATAGTAGCCATATTTCCTAGAGGATTGTTTTGTAAATTCAAAATAATTTACCTTGAATTTAATTCTTTAGCCTTCCATTTTTGATATTAATTAAATACCCATATCCGATTGAATTCTGCTAAGTCTGCTTTAGCTTAAGCTTGTTTATAATACTTTTTTAGATTTTGCACCTGCTGTATATAAGCAGTATGTCTTCTTTTTCACTAACATTTTTCATAAATATTTTCATATACCATATCTCTAAAATTAATGATTTCTTTATCTCCTTGTTGTCAGACTTGTCTTTCATCCCTCTATGCTTGCTCCATCATCTGTACCCTTCGAAGATAATTATTTCTAAAATTTGTCATATCATTTATAATCCTATTGATCTGCCTATGGGATGCATTAAGCAAACCTTGTAAGTTAGCATTATCCTAAGCATACTTTTGATTATGCCTTCAAATAATTGTTCTTAAGATCCGTATTCCATTCAATGTATTTCTTAGGTCAAATGATGTATCATCATTGATATATCCTTCAATCCAGTCTAAAGCTGTACCAATATTTCTTAAGATATCTGGTAGTGCTATATTTTCTTGATGTTCTTCTTCAAAAGGTTTATTACTGTTATTTTGAAAAAGTGATATCTTAAGAATTTGGCTTTTGAGCTTTTTCTACTGTATCTTCTAACAGAATAATTTGATTATCTTAAGCGATTAATATCTTCTCCTTTAGATCCAAATAATCCTGACATTTTTTGAGATTATATAAGATAAAGCGGTATTCTACTTTTAATCTATCTATCTCATTCTCACGAGATACAAGATTTTTTTCAAGATAATTGATATATAGCTCACATCGCTCTAGATCATTTGTAAGCTTATGAATCTTTCCTTATTTTTAATGGTAATAGTTTCCTTTTTAGTCAACTTTATTCGCAATTCTAAATTGCTGTTTAGTAAATCGAGATATGCTTGCTCAACTCCCATTGATTCCTATTATTCCAATAGATTCTGGCGAAACTCGAAATGTGAATGTGTCTTCAACTTTGTGCAAAATTTATTATCAGCTTATTGGCTACCAGCGAAATGCGAAAAAATTACACAAAGCCTCTAAAAAGGTTAGATATAATTTTAGTTTAAACAAAGTTAGGGATTGGCTTAACAAACAGGTCTTATATCAGATTCACAAACCTCAACCTAAATATATTCCTCAAGCATCTTTTAGTAATATTACTGTATCTATGAAAGTTATTCAAGCTGATTTATGCCATATGCCTTATGATCAAATTGGAAATAAAACTTATAAATTCGCACTTAATTGTGTAGATATTGCTATTTGTACTAAATAGTCCTATCCTTTAACTAAACGTAATTCTACTAGTGTAGCTAAAGGATTTGAGAAACTTTTTAAATTTTGAATATGCTCAATTGACTGGTCTAAAGTTAAAGTTTTAATGGTAGATAGAGACGTTGAATTTCAAGATAATGTTATAATATTAATGAATAAACATGGTATCCAAATTCAAATAGCTAATTCTAAAGAATCTATGGGTATTATTGAGAGATTTAATCATACACTACAAGAGTGGGCATTCTTTATTCAAGATAGCGTTGAAATGAGATTACCTCCTACTGAACGCTATCGATCTTAGGTAAAAGATCTTTCAATTTTTCTCATAAAGCTTGATAATTCTATGATTTGACTTCTAGATATTTCTCCTGCTAAAGCTCGAAAAAAAGAGCATGTATTTGTTAAAGCCTTCAAGCTACGAAAAGGACCTATTGGGTTTGATGAACCTAGATTATCCTATGATATCTTAGTTAAATATTTATTTAATCTTGATAAATTAGAAGGTGGGAGAAGACGCACAACTGATTGCAATTGGTCTCCTCAGGTTTATCATATTTGCAAATCTTTAGTACAAAAAAAACAGCTAGTTTTGTACTGGCTAATAGATAAATGGAGACAATGATCTGAAAAGATCTTTTGTAAGAGAGAAGCTTCAAATCATACCTTTTAACACAGAATTACCACCATGATGGGTGTTCACAAATTAAATTTCTAATTCATGAAGTTTAAGCATTTCGTTTACTTCTTCTATAGATCTTTTTGCACAACCTCTTCTTGGTTTGCAAATAAGAAATATAATTTGTATAACTTTTCAAGACTCTGATATACTTCTTCATTATATCAGTCTTTGAAATCTACTATTTTTTTATTATAAATTTTCTCATTTAAAGCTCGTTGCTTTGCTACATGTCTGCAATAATCATCTGGGTCCTTTTTACATTGCATTATTTTCAAATAGCCCACATATGTCAATCCCATTTTATCATATTTTTTCATACTTTAGCTATATACCACTTTAATTACCTCAACTAATGCTGATTCGACATCTTTATAGTTAATCATTTTGTATAAGTATTGAATGTTTATATTAATATAGCAAAAACTTTTGTTTAAAATAAAATATTTATTTCTTATTACTATGATAGGTGAATATTATTACAATTATTTACTCATGACTGGATACGTCTGTGGGCGAACTTGTCGTCAACCTGAAGGGTATTTTGAACATTAGAAAGCTAAATCTCGCTTTCCCTGTAAAGTTTGTGACAAGCCGACTAGCTTTGAACCTGACCTTTATAGAAAGCATTCTGATACCTATTATATAACCCAATATTTTAATAGGCTTCAGACTAAAGCTAATGCTGATGATTTAATCCAGATGAAAATTAATGAATTGCTTCTAGAGCTGTTAGCGAATAAAATTAAAGAAGCAGGAAAGCAGAATTTACAGCAGATCAAACCACTACGGATGATCAGCACTATTACTCCAATCATGGACGAAGAATCAGAAGATACTGGAGTTGAAGCTCCAATTTTTGAGCCTAGTGATGAGGTTACAACCCTTCAATCTAGAATCGTTACTTTTAGTAACATTCCTAAAGCTCAGATTTATGACTTACTATGATAGCCTTTTTTTCACCTAAAGTTATACTTCTAGGTGTAAACTTTTATTATGTCTTCTCTTTTGAAGCTATTACTTCTGCAGGAGAAAGCTTGCTTCTTTTTTTGAATCTAGTGAGAAAAAAGGAATACAATTTTTATTGATATAGTAGAACAATATTTAAGAGCTCTAGAATAGCGAATCAATAAGTAATCATTCTAGTCAACAAAGGAATACCTAAATTACGTATTTTGATAATTATTATTCTTAAGCCCTCATGTAAAAAATAAAGAAGTCTACATACCTTTTCTATTTCTGAGATTGCAGAGTCTCCAGCTAGGCAAGAAAGTAAAAAAGTGATTTTAATGAGTTGGAGATGTGAAAAACAAAAAAAAAAACCAAAGTAATATAGCAAGAAGGCATTATGAGGGCCAGTGTTGTCATGGAACATTGATAGAACACTAATAGGACGCTGATAGGACATAGATGGAACAGATAGGACATTTAGAACATAGTGTGAGACAGGTTGGAACATATAGCTAGGACAACAAATCTTTGAAACATCAAAAATGTATATCACTAGTGGAGCTGTACACCTCTAGTAAGAAATGCCCTCCTTTTTTTCACCTAAGGTTATACTTCTAGATGTAAATTTTTATTATGTTAGAATTATAATCGGAAAAGTGCACAAAGGCAAGAAAACAAATTAGTAATTTTGATAAGTAAGAGGGGCTAGAGAACATTATTTATTAACTATCATTCTTGAAGTTCTTAAGCGAAAATAACTTAATCTATAAACACTTTCCACTAGGTGTAAATTTTGTTATGTTAAGATTATAATCAGAAAGGCGTGCAAAGACAAGAAAACAAATTAGTAATTTTATTGAATAAGAGGAGTTAGAGTACATTCTAAAAATATAAATTTTATTGATATACTAGAAGTATATTTTAAGAGCTCTAGAATAGCGAATCAATAAGTAATCATTCTAGTCAGCAAAGGAACGCTTTGATTATGTATTTTGATAACTATCATTCTTAAGCTCCTAAGTGAAAACAAAGAAGAAATAGAAGGTGTAAATTTTTTACTTTGCTAGATAATAACAAATTCTTTTTAAAATTAATTCTAGAATAACATAAATATTAATATATATAGAAGGTTTGCAAAGACTCTACAGACTTGACTTTGAACCTTTAGTTCTTGTCAATCTTACATCATCTTAAACTCAAACAGAATGGTATATTTTTTTTGATATATTATTTGGGATTAAAATTAGGCTAGAAAGGCTATAAGAGATAGATTTATTCTTGGTATCCTGCGGGGTAATTTAATACCAAATTTGATACCAAATATTTGAATAGCAGGAAATGCTCAAATTTGGGCTAGAGTTTAAAATTCTATAGGTGAAAATAAGTAAAAAAAAGTCTACTCACTCTCCCTGCTGCTGGAACTTAGTTCCTCTTAAATTCACTTCTTATTTTTTTTTATATATTTTATATTTTTATTATTTTATTATTCTAAATTTAATTTAAAAATTTAATTGGATTCTTAATTGAATTAAGTTTAATTGTAAATATAATTGATTAATTAAATAATTAGATATAGTAAAATTTTAAAAAATATTTAATTAGATAATTAGATAATTAGATACAATTAAATTATATCTAATTATCTAATTATCTAAAATCATTCAATTTATCAATTAGAATGAGTTCAATTCTAATACTGATAATAACCATACCTATATATGAGAATTATACTATTAATCAAATAATTAATATATTTACAATATAAATAATACAAAGAGTGATAGTATTTAGTTTTTTAAAAGTAATAAAATCTCTTAAAAGATTAATTTATATGTATTAATACTATTGAATAATAATTTAATAATTAAAAAAATATAAATGATACACTTAGTATATTTTTGTAAATATATTTAAAAGTTATATAGTATACTTTTAAAGAAAAGTATTTAATTATTTTAGCATATGGGAGTGTTTTTAGAAAAATCAGGTTCCGAGAAATTTTTGACTAAAATAAAGAGCTTAATACATTTTAATCTAATAACATCAAAAACTAAAATGCAATAAAAATCTCAATTTTGCTAAAAAATTCCCGGAACCTGATTTTCCTAGCAATCAACCCATATATAGATATTTAATAATATAATACTTAGTAAATTTAAAAGGAAAAATATATCATTCTTAGGAATATCAAATAGTAAAATACAAGTCAAAAAGCTTACTTGAAATTAGAATGAATAATATTATTCCTTTCAGTTTATTAAACTTATTTTTAAACTGTTGATTCCTCAAAAATATAGATTTTAATTTTATTCAGAAAATAATTTTATTAAAAATATAAATAATTAATTACAAAATTCATTAAATTTATTTTTTTAAAGTTTATCTAAAACTAAATTTCAATAGCTATCTCTTAAATACTTTTTGAAATCTCTTTAATATTTTCCTTTTAAAAATATCTTTCATTTTTGTATTTCTTCTATTTTTGTATATCTTTTCTGCAATTTTATTATATTTCTTTATATTTTTTTATTTTTCTATTTTTTTCAATATTTTATCCTTTATTTTGTATTCTAAGTATAGTGTTATATAAAAGAAGACATAGATAATAATGATCAAAAAGATAACGTTAATTACTAAAAAGTCATATATGTCTTATTCATCTTTTATGTCATTTATAATATATTTATTTTATACAATATATTTTATTTATTTATTTTATTTTATTTATACTATATATTTATTTTATTATATTTATTTTATATATTATATTTATTTCTTTATTTCTTTGATAACTTGATGTATTTTATTTTATATAAATAGAATTTATCTAATAAGTAGTTTTATTAAATAGTTTACTTTAATCTTTTTAACATACTTATAAAGTATAGAATGCTGACTAAGGTAGTACTTTATTGTTATCATTATTAAATAAACTGTTAATTGATTGATATTCTTCTAAAATAATTATAAAATAAACCTTTTACTTACTATCTATAATATTGCTTTACTTAGTACTTATAAATAACCTAAAAGAATTGACTATAATAATAGCTAATTATTTTATCATTATATTACTATCTGTATAAATATTTATATTACTATTTATATAATTAATTATATCTTTAATTATGCTAAAATATCACATTCTATACTTTGTATTAAATAAATCTTTATTATAAATTTATTTTATAATTTATACTTTACATCTGTTTTTATTTAATAAATGATATCTAATAAATAATATAACAATAATGTTTACAAAATGTTGCTTAAATTTATTTTTATCCTGCTATTAAAAATAAAATATGCTTCTTTTTACAGTTATTAAGCTATAAAAACTTAGTAAAATATTATTATATAATGCTATGAATAAGTTTAATAGAATAATTGCTTAAAGATTAAAATTAAAATAATCATATTGAAAATTAAATGATTAGTTTTTATTTAATAAAAATATTAGAGAAAAACATTTATGAAACACATTTTTTTTATAAGTAAACTAATTACTTTTTAATAATATATTATGTAAATATTAAAAATCAAATTATTTAATAAATCTGTTAAATATAAAACTCAATATTTTTGCTTATATAATTAATTTTTAAAAAAACAACCTCAGATATATTAGTTCTAATATAAATATTAAACAAAAGCTTATCTTTTACTTTTAATTCTCAATATAAAAGTAAAATTAAATATTAAAATATAAATTATAATGATAAAAGTAATTTAAATATATTTCTTATTTTAATTTTTTACTTTATTGCTAATTTTTTGAATTTTATATTGTAGAGTTACTTTATCTTAGAAAAGTTTTTTAGTAGAATATAATTATTTATATTAGTAAAAGTAATATATATATATA